CAGGGGATAGGGCGGGGCCACAATAGGGGGAATCCCAAGTTTTACATTGAAATATATAGGAAAAATCTTTAAAAATCTTCTCAAGAACCACTGGACCAGAAAAACTGAAACTCATGTGGAAGCATCCGGGGGTAGTGTAGATTCTAAATTGTTCAAATCATGGCCCCTGGGGGGAGGGTGGGGCCACAATAGGTATTACAAGGGGGGAAGTCTGGTAATGAACAGCATGGCCAAAGTTACTCAGGTGAGCGATGTGGCCCATGGGCCTCTTGTTTAAATACTTGCTCTGGTCTGTGTAACTATTGAATGTACATGTATGTATCTAGGTAGTCTGATATGTTGGTTTGGCAGACAACCAGATAAATTGAACATAGGGTCAAATCTGTTTAAACAAAACAGTGATGAAATAGGAAATGATGGGCAATATCTCTCTCTATTGATGTTGAAACCATTTTGTGTTGTTCTATTTTCAGGCTTGCTTCTTAATTTGGAAACAGACATGCGAGATTTACTGAATGATCTCCAAAGAGTTGTACCAACTTCCTAGACACATCGTAACTACACGGAATGGACTAGGGCAAAAAGTGCAATTTTTGTAAACGTCTTTGTTTGCTATTGGACAGTCTCCTTGATAATGAAGGATACGATGCAACAACTATATATAACATGACAACTTGATAAACATGAACAATATTTGTCTAGTGTCTCTATATTGGTGCTTGTGATTAGGAAGGCTTGCTCTAGTATTATCTGAAAATATCTTTTTTCCTTTCAGATGAGAGATGAATTGATTCTAGACATATTTTTAATTAATTAGATCATCTTGCCACTCCTGGACTATGTGAGGTAGAAACATGGCCATTCCTTAATTCCTGGAGAAAATGTTAATATTGTTATGATTTATCTTATTTATGTGTGTAGGAAAGAATGAGGTTCCAGGCCTTGTGACAGAATTTTTAGGTTATATTCAGTGGGTAAACACTATAAGTAAAGATTAGAGTCAAGCTTGATTGAAGAAAGAGTGATCAAATGTGATTAAAGCAAAGTAGGAATTAATTGTATTAATTGTATTTGAAGATTTTTTTCATACTAAAGTGCATAAGAATACTAATTATTTGCCATATCTCTGTTTTCTGTTTATATATGAAAGAATTTTTTCCAAGGACTTTGATCAATTTTTAGCTCACCTCAACGAAGTTGGGGGGAGCTTATGTAATACCTTCGGTGCCTGCATCGCAGGTTAAAGATTTTGGAGCAGATTTTTTTTCAAGTACTTCTATGCCCTATATTAATCAGAGATGCATGGAGGATGCTTCTAGTATGTTTCATTGTACCAGTCAAGGTTTCAGATGCTGCAATTTCAGCTAAAGATTGACCAGGTTAATGTATTTGAAGCAGGTTAAAGTTTTTGGAGCAGTTTCTAAAGGACATATGTTGACCAAACTTGCATGGATGATGATCTAAGGATGCACACTACTGGTCTTGCTTTGTATGCTGGATTTGATCTACATTTTCCAGATGAGTGACCAGGTTAAAGTCTTTGAAGCACGCAGGTTAATTCTAAAGTAACTATAAAATACCCCTATGTTGACCAAACTTGCATGGATGATAATCTAAGGATGCACACTACTAGACTTGCTAGATTTGACCTACATTATCTGGAGGAGTGACCAGGTTAAAGTTTTTGGAAGTTCATTTTAAAGTAAAGTGACTATAAGCCCCATGCTAATTAACTTTGCTTTGAAGATACATTTATTGATGCACAAACTACCAGAGTTGTTATGGATGAGGAGGGATTCAGCCTACATTTTCCAGATGAGTGACCATGTCAAAGTTTTTAGAGCAGGTCCATTATGAAGAAACTATATGGTCTACCTGAACCAAACTTGCATGGATGATGCATCAAGGGATGCACACTACCAGAGTTGCTTCAGATGACCATTTAAGGGAGCTAGCTATTTAAGCACCTAGCGGCTTATGTTAGCTACTATTATCAGGATTGTAGTTAGCACTGTGGGAAGTAAATTTCTTTTCAAGGGGAAAAATATGATTATGTCAAAAACCCATACAAGGTAATCATTCCTTACGGTGAAAAAGCCATAAGAAGTTTTAATATATTTAAGAGCCCTCTATACACTGCACACTAGAGAGTTCTGATTTTGTGGTATTTTTATGCAGATCGATAGAGTAATCCACCCTTTGATCCAAAAATAAAATAAATTGAAATGTATTACTTAATTTGTCATCAAATCAAGCATTCATAGCATTTTAATAGGACAAAATAAATAGATTGAACACATCTGCCCACTTAAGCAAACACTAGTGATTTCTTTTCATCAGTTATACTTCATGGGTTGTCTTTGAAAATTTTTCTTGCCCAATGCAAGGAATGTAATAAATAAGTTCAATATTTACATCTTTACACACTATAATTTTTTCAATGTCCAAAAAATCCTTTTCCTGTAGTATGTAGAGGGTCGTTAAATATAAATAAAAATGTGATGTGAGTATAGTGATTCAATATTGATTTTCATTACGAATAATTTTTTGTACGACTTATCATAATGCGAAAGGTGAAGGTCACAGCATTCATTTTCGATTCGCGCCAAGTTTGATGGCAAAAGCGGTAAGTAAATAATATGTTTAGAAAGAATCTGTGGTAAATGCAGATAACGATTACAGTTCTTCTGTTTTCATTTAGTAGAATCCACTTAAAGTATGTGATAAATCGATTAAAGAATGAAGTTGAAAAAAATACGATACTGTAATGCGGTTTCTTTCCTAAGAACCAAACAACGATGGTCATGGACTAACACAAGCTAATTGTATGAATGAACAGATTCATGTGAATTGATAAGAAATTGGGTCTTAGGCTGTAGATATGTAAGGAATCAAGCCTCGATACTGATACTTAACTACCCATATGTACAGTTCGTAAATGAATCTGTTGTTATTTTGATGTTTCGACTTTGGTCATTTCGGCCTTCCATTTTATAAATTGCTGCTATAATTCATTAGAAATCATTTTGGGGGGTTATATTTTTAATCAAAAATCAATGTTTAAAACTGAACTACATCAACAAGACAAGGTTGCAAATAACTTCTAAACCTTAGGGGCCCTGTGGGTCTCGAACTTTACAAGTTTTACTAGCCCATATTGATATTTTGTGGCCCACAATTTTCTGTCTAATTGGTAAAAACAATTCTCCATCTTTTCATATAAAAATTTCTGAAAAGTACATGTACTTTGCTGTCCATGAGTCTTTTGTTTTTCTCTGGATTTCAACATCTGACACTAATATGAAATTCCACGTTTAATGTTTTCGTTCATTTTGAGACCTCGTATAGAAATAATGATGAGGTTCAGGATTTAGAAAATGTTTTTAGGTAGGAAATTGTGAAAACAAAGGTGCCTTTTATAGAAGAAGCAAACCACTGTTGGTTTCTGGAAAAGTGCTCGCCATCATGCCCATGTGGTCAATAGCATACTCAACATTTGGTTGCTCACTGACAAAATTACTGGCATTTGCAAGTGGGCAGGTGGTTATTTGCAACCCTGAATGTGCTTAAATTTGTTTGAAGTGTGATAGTTTTAAGTTTTTTAAATGTTTAAATGTATCAGATCTTTTTTCTATTGCAGACCAAACACATCTAAGCTGTCATGACAGCCTATGAAGTGACAAGGGAACCAAATCAGGTAGATGGATAGTTAGCGGGATAGTAATATATTTTTTTTAACAAATTTTGGATTGTAGGTTTTCTTCATAAATATAAAATAAGACTGAGGATTTATGTAAAATTTGGATTTATAAGTAATAAAGTATTAGTTCACCAAGAAGAAGGCTCAAGTGAGCTTTTATAGAAGATGTTTGTCATTCATCTGTTAACATCTAACATTTTTGACTTCTTCAGAACTAGATATACTAACCAATTTCAACAAAACTTGCCTCAAACACCCTTGAATAGAGTTTGTTTGTTGAAATGAAAGTCTGTGCCCCTTTGCAATGGAAAGACATAAATTTATGGTAAAATATTGGGAAGGGTCAATTAAAAATTCCCATAAGCTTCCTGTAAATTTAGTGTAGATCCAAATTTATTAAAATATTTAACAACAACAACAACCCCATGAAGATCTAACTTCAATTTCCAATTTAGATCCTAAAGATGTCAGATGAAGTCAACACACCACAGAGGTCAATAATGGACTTCTTCAAAACTCCTCAGAAAGAGCAGGTGACATCAAAACCCAAAGATCTTCTCGGCTTCTTTTGTAGAAAAGACATCAGTAGTACAAAGAGAACTCCAGATTTAATCTGCAATGGAAAGGTTATATATATTCTCTCTCTCTCTCTCTTTAGAAATCTGCAAAACTTCTTTATCATTATGTGTGAATTACATACATACTGTATGGAATGGAGAAAAGTGGTTTCATGTAGTTTTGACCTAATCACTTCATGAAATTAAGAAATAAAGTTCGTGTTTTCATAGGTGTTGCAGGGTAATCTCTGAGGTCGAGAAACATTGTTTTGAAATTTAAAAGCCAAGGCAATAGCCTAGGCTTTTATATTTCAAACAACATTTTGAGACCCAAAATGTCCATGAAAACTCCAACTTTATTTCTATTCAACTAAGAGCTGTATTAAAAAAAAAAAAAAAAAAAAAAAAAAAAAAGCCTGATTATTTCCTCTATAGAGAAACGAATTAGGTCTTGTGTCGTTATGGCTGTTCCATATAACACCAAATGGTTAATGTGTTTGTCTACAAAATGATTGCAAGGGAATTCAAATGATTTTAGCTCTCTTTGGATTAAAAATATCCTTTAATTATGTTCCCCAAACGAAGTTTGGGAACATATTGTTTTTACTCTGTTTCTTCTTCTTCTTATTATTATTATTATTATTATTCTTTTTTTCTACTTTCTTCTCCGGTACTTTTTTGTCCGGGAGTGTTCTCATAGAACCACTCATCCGATTGACATGAAACCTTTTTAGGGTTAATAGGCATGTTGTGTAGGTGTTCGGAACGAAGGTCATTTTGCGCGCACATGCATGCACGTGCGCGCGCGTGCAATGAGTGAAATGACTGATATACTTCATGAAGCCGTAACTTTTATATTTCTTGACAAATTGCTTTGAAACTCAAAATATAAAGATATATTAGTAGTCTAGACAAGATAACACGGTCAAATTAGCGTGAACTCACGCGCATGCACGTGCACTCTTCTCTGATTGGCTGATACAAAAATCTCAATAATTTCCTTGTTTTTTGACAAAATACTTTGAAATTTAGAATATAAGTATATATTATAAGGTGCTACAACATGTTATATAGGAAATTTCTTGAAAACACGCGCATGCAGGTGTGCTGCAATCTGATTGGTTGAAACTTTCAATGTCCATAACTCCCTTGGTTTTCAACAAAACAAGATGAAATTTACGACATGGATAGGCACATAGAGCTCCTACATTATGATACTATCAAAATTGAATGCAAGGCCATGCATGTGCGTATGCTGAATTCTGATTGGCTAATACTTAAAGGGTTACATCTCTCTTATTTTTCAATGAAATTCTTTAATATTTAACACAAATGTATGTATTGTGACACACTATAAGAAAATTATTGTGAAAAATATAGAAAACATGTGCAAGCACATGCGCTGAAATTTGATTGGCTAATACCCATATGGCTATATCGGAGTAGTTTTCCAATGAAATACCTTTAAAAATAAAGTGTCCCTCTATATTACAAAAGTATTGTCTAATTTATTGAAGCTTGTAGGGAATGGGGCATCATAAGGGAATGGGGAGCCGTTTGGGGAACATCTGTAACGGTTCCCGTTACAATTAGCACTAGTTATTTATATAAATTTGTCTGTAGAATATATTAATTTTTATCATTAGATAATAACAAAATCAGTTGCTGACTTTTTTGTTTTATCGGTAAAAACCTTGTGCTTTATCAGTAAAATCACAGAGTGTAAATGTTGTAGGTCCGTGGATCAGCCCATAAAGCTATCTAAATAGACATTTATCAGCTGTGTAAGACAATACACAACATTAAGACTGCAGAAGACAAGACATTGATATGGTCTAAATAAGTAAATTGCAGTCTTAACGTCAAATACTCATTTCACCTACACGTTGGATATGTGTTTCTGATCTGATAATCTTTTTTGATGATGTTCATGATTTATTGGAGAATAATGGCCAGGGCATTTCTTTGATCTCAGCAATAATTGTAGTAGACTTATAAATGTTGGGTTTTATAATTAGTCCATTCATTAAAGCAAGATCTGTGAATCACAAATTGACTGGCATTGTAGAACATTCCTGAAACAAAAGAAAATGTATTGAACAAAGGAAAAGAGAAAAAAGATGAAAAAGCAAATCTTCCAAAGAAAAGAAAGAGATCAACTTCAAAAGATCAGGATGCTTCTGATGACAATGCTAATGACAAAACTTCAGGGAGGAAGAACAAGTTGAAAAGGAAGAAACAAGAGACAGTTAAAACAAAAGACAACAAGCAAACAACACCTAAAGGGGAAACAGTTAGTAGTGAAGTTAAATCTGTATGTAATGACACAGAGGAGTCAAAGACCAAAAGTGGAACAATTTTGTCCAGTGATAATAGGGTTTGTGCCGAAATCAATAAAGTGGAGGAAGTTATTGATAAAGATATATGTGGGTCTGATCAGAACAATGAAACAGACTCCGTACAGAGAGAACAAATGGTCATGATTGATAACAGTGAAGCTGAGGTACCCAAATATGTTGGAAGTACAACCTATAGAAGTCCTGATGTGGCACTAAATGGAATGAAAAAGGGTGAGTGTAGTCCAGGGAAGGAAAAGGAAGCCGGGGCTACATCAAATTTGGAATGGAACAAACGTATAGACGTAGAGAAGTGTAGAACCCCCAGAGACAAAGATAAAGAAAAGAGTGTTAAAAAGAAAAATAAATTAAAAAAGAAAAAGAAAGAAGCAGATTCGCAAGAGAGTGTGAAGAAAACTCTTAACTTGTCAGACATTTGTACCAACATGGCTGATGTCTCAATCCTCAGTGATGGAGGGCTGAACACAAGTCAAGTGAAGAGCAGTCAAGATGACATAAAAAATGACAGTACACAGGAGAGAGGTGAGAATGGCACCAGCATACCAACTGTAAACATTACAGAAGTGAGCTATGATGTATTCCTTGGCAAGGAAGACACTGAAGAGAACACTGTAAAGAGATCTCCCTGTGACAAGGTGGAAGAGTCTGCAAACATGGAGGAAGAGTCGGCAAACGTGGAGGAAGAGTCAGCAAATGTGGAGGAAGAGTCTGCAAACATGGAGGAAGAGTCGGCAAACGTGGAGGAAGAGTCAGCAAACATGGAGGAAAAGTCTGCAAACATGGAGGAAGAGAGTTATGAAGATTTCTTATCCAAACAACAGAAGGAAAATGGTGAAGACATTGGTGCAAACAAACAAGACAGTGATAAACCCACACATGCTGCTGAACCAGTTAAAAAGAAAAGAGGACGACCTAAGAAAACAGACAGTTTACATTCTACAAGTCATGGTACTGGAAAGAAAATATTTGTTGGTGATGATAGCAAAGACAGTAAATCTAAGGATGACATTCCCACAGAGGGTGTGCAGGAGGTGAGTTATCTGGACTATTTAAATACAATTGGGGAAGACAATTCAGAAAACAAAGGAATTGCAAAGAGAAGTATTTATGATATTCTTGGAAGAGGTGTTAAGACTATTATTTCCCAAGTAGAAGATGCTGGATCGACACTAAAACCAAGTGATGATGATGGAACAAACATTCCAATGCCAAAACAGTATCCGTCTATCACAAATTTTTTTTCTCAAGTCAGTAAAAATGAAAAATTTTACAAGTCAAAACCTAAACATGCTAAAGCTGATCATTTAACTATTAAGGCCATGATTCATGTACCAGAAAGTCAGAACAAAAGAGAAAGTGTGGAAAAAAGTGACAAAAAACTTGTGGTCAAAAAGAAACAGCTTGCAAAACACAGAAGTGAAGATTCAATACAAGTACTGAGTTCAGAGATAATTGTTATAGAAGATAAAGAAATGGATGTTGATTATGATAGGAATAAGAAAAATATGAAACAAGAGAAGGAAGAGAAAAAAGAATTGGAAGATAAAGAAGACATCATAGAAATATCAGAAGAAACCGAAGCAAGGGAAAAGAAAAACTCATTTTTGCATAGTGTTGATGCACCAGAAAAGTCTGTCAAACAGAAAACTTCGCAAGCTACACTTAGTTTTGCAAAGGGAAATCTGAAAATGAATAAAGCAGTAAAGGAAGCTTTGGAAAAAAATCCAGAAAAGACAATATGTGAAAGTACACCAGAGCCAGAAAAAAGAAAAAGGGGTCGACCCAAGAAAACTTGTGAGAAAGAAAATGTCAAGACAAAGCAGCATAACTTGAGTGAGACAAGTCACAACTCAAGCCAATCAAGTCAGAACTCAAGTCAAGTGTTTGAAGATAAATCTGAAGAAGAAAATGTGAAGGAGGAAAGAGCCAGTCAAAGTCTAGCTGAGAGAAGAAAATCAATCCGACTAAAATACAAGGTCAAACTTTTACAAAATTCTGACGCTGGCTCTCCTATCAGGATGAAATTTATGAGGTACAGTATTGTTATTTTACAGTTTATGGATTAATTGTATGCTAAAGCATATCATTTAACCATACATCTTCATTAAAAACAATTTTTCTTCTTTGCAGGTGTGCAAAGAGTAGTAGTGGAAGTAGCCAGGATGAAACATTCACTCCAAAGTCTAAGGAAAAGGGCAAAAATAAGGTATGATTCCTGGTACCAGGTCATTGTAACATGTTAAGGGTGCAACCACAGGGGCAAGCGCAGTTGTGTATAATTTATTACTGGATACCTATCCACTTCGAACTTCGATCCCTTCTCATCAAATCACCAGGAGACATTTGGAAGGTCTAGACTGTGACTTCACTTGACGCCATGTTGGTTAAATATTTCTTTAAATGAAGTCTGAAAAATGTATATATTTAACAAAGAGCGACAAATCTATTATCTCTCTGCAATTTTCATAAAAACAAGGTAAGTTGCCATTTTTATGAACTTTTCTTTTGTCAATGCGAAAACATGAGTCAAAGAGCAGTACCACAGTTATGGAAAAAACAGCCTAATGGCAGAGCACTTTGGATTACTGCAGAAAAAATTCATATGGATCAATGTACAGCAGCCCTAATTTTCTCTTCGCCCAGTTATTGCTTTAAGAATTTGAAGTGCAAGTGGTGCTTTGAGCCGATCTCTGCTCTTACTATTATCTTTAATACATGTACCAGGGGTAGGGCTGGGATGATTCAGGGTTCAATCGATTGGGTTCGGTTTCGGTTCAGAATGATACGGTTCGGTTTTTTTCGATTCGGTTCAATTTAACCTTAAACAGTCTAAATATTTCTCATCATTAATGAAAAATAATAACCTCTGCTTTATAAACTGATTAAACTCCTTTACTTTAGTCTTCACAAAAACTTTTTTGAGACACTAACAAGTGGGGCTAGTGGATTTGACATTTTTACTAGCTAAAGTAAAATTCTACTAGCCATGAAACAATAAAATTTGAAACTTTTGTTGTATTATTTTATTCCATTTACATTTCATAATGGATTACTATTCTTTTCATTTTTCTTCTGCTTATTTTCTCTATTTGCATTTTTTTCTGAGTCATTCATAAATAAATAATCAGAGAAATTATTTAATGCTGAATTTCTGATTTTCATAGACTGAACAATCATGCTTTGGATACCCAGGGTTAGAAACTCCCTAAATTTACAACTCGCAAATAATTGCGAGTACCAAGAAAGTGAACTCGCAATTTTATAAGACTACTCGCAATTTTTATATAAAGTTAAATTTACATAAATTAGATACATGTAACTTAAGGAAAAAGTAACTACTGTACAATACACAAAATACAGCTAGAGGGTGACTTTTATTTAAATTACTGATTTAAATCAAAAGAATTGTGTTCTGTCATATTATATAATTTTGCTACAGTTTCAATGCAAAAAAAAATCAACTCGCAAGTTTTTGCGAGTTACCTAATTTTTAACTCGCAATTTGGGAATTCTAACTCGCGTTTTGCGAGTTGTATATAGTGAATTTTGAACCCTGATACCTTCTAACATGATAATATACATTTTTTTCTGATCATTGGACTTAATTCCTCTTCCAAAATGAAGTAAAAGCTAGTGATTATTTTTTTTAATTCAAATTATCAAATACAGTGTTAATATATTTTTAATTACCCTTGTAAATATTTACTCTTCAGTTAACCAGTTGAGTAATAAGTTGGAAATAATTTAATCAACTAATGTATTTTCCATAAAATGGGGATGGAGGAAATTGGATTAGTAAAAAAAAAAAAAAGACGATCTTTTTCATGGTCTTTAGAAATAAATAATGTATAAGTGCTAAAAGAATTAGATAGATGAGATTTATGAACAAGAGAACCACACTTCTTTGATTTTTTCCATTGATTTGGGATTTAAAAGCACAACTTGGAAAATACCTGCTACTTTTTCACTAGCCCGTCGGGCTATTTACTAGCCTATACCAATTTAAACTAACCTCAATTGTAAAAGGAAAAGGAGTTTGTAGAATAAAAAAAAACTAATCACAGACTTCAAACTGGCACAGTCATTATAAAAAGTATTAAAATGATGAAAACAAACACCTTCGATATCCAATTGGCGGCCATTTTTGTTTATACGTGTTAAGTAAATTTTGAACCGAACCGAATTCCAGAATTCTGGATCGGTGCACCGAATCAAACAGTATGAACCGCGGTGCACCGAAATTTTCAGTGCACCGCACAGCCCTAACCAGGGGTAGCTTTTTTGATACCCATTTACTTACATATATCTATCTATAAGAAATACATTTAGATTAATTATTATTTGCTTGTTTGGTTTTTTGTGGAGTTTTTGTTTTGTTTTTTTTAAATAGAAAATGCAGAGTAAAGCTCAGAAATTGTTAGCAAAGGCCAAGAAAGTGAAGGGTAACCAGAAAAATCTCCAAGCTGATTGCAAAGGCAAAACCAGGAAAGTCAAAAAGACGGAAACCCCTGACAAAATAATCAGTGAGGCCAAGTCTGATTCTGAGGATAAAGAATCGGGAGGACGAAGGAGAAGCTCAAGGTAAAATGTTAGGGGTTATGTCAATTTTAACCAATAAAAATGAATGTGTTTTGAATATGAATTGAGGTTAACAAATTGTAAGCATCATAAATTATGATTGAAAAACAACATTCCTATGAGCATATAATGACATTTCTATATTTTGGAAAAGAATATTGAATGTTCTTTTTATGAAAAATGTTTTAATTGTAACTGAAAGGTGGAAAAACTACTTTGATTAAAAAAAAAATGTTCTCTGGATTGTATACAAATGGATGCAATAGTTCCCTTACTTTTGCAGAAATTATCACTTGTGGAGCTCTATTCCATTATCGCTCCCAGAATATGAATTAAACTTTCATATACATTGAATGTAAAAGACACTAATTCCAGACTGTAACATTTTACCAAGGTTGCAAATAACCACTCATCCACTTGCAAATGCTAGTAATTTTGTCTTGAGGACAACCTTTTGAGGATCTTATAGCTAACATGGCATGTAAATATTTTAATGGAACTTTGTGGGAACTGGACTGGGGTTTGATTCTACAATAAAATGCCTATTTTCTATATTTCCTACCTACAAAACATTTTCTAGACCCTAAATATGTCATTGTGAAGACTATGTGAAGTCTCAAAGTAAATTAAAACATAGAATTTTATACATGGGTTGTTGAAATCCACATGAAAATGAAATATTGTGAAAGTATACTTCTCAGAGATAATAATGAAGATTGATTAAGAATTTTCTTTTATCAAGTAGACAGAAAATGAAGCAAGTAAAACTAGTAAAGTTTGGGGCCCAACATGGCCCCTAAAGTTTTAATTGTTATTTGCAATCCATTGTCACATGGCAATTAGGGGCAAATGTAATATAAAATATGAAATTTTAATTTTAAACATAACACAGAGAGTAAAAGATAATTTTCTATACAAATATTTCCAGATTGTCAGACAGACAGAAGAGTCTAAAGGAGATTGAGATTGTAGAACTGGATGATGAAGATGAAGACACAAATGATTCTTGTTACACACCTAAGAAGAAATCAGGGGCTCAGAAGCAGACACCAGCTAAAAAATCCAAAGGCACATCTTTATTATTGCATGCTTGTCTCCCTCTTTGACAAAGGGAGACATAATATCTTCCTCTGAACTTTCTTTTTGTTCATCTCATACAAACATCTCCAGGCCATAATTTTTCATCTAACATGTTTAAAATCTGTTTCAGAAGTGAAGAATATAGCATCAATATTCTTAAAGAAAAAGCCTAAGGCTGCAGCAGATAGCCCTGTGAAGAGAATTATAGATCCTGAGGCAGAGAAGTTAAAGAGAGCCTTCTTAATGAGTGGGATTCCAGCAGAGTTAAAACAAAGTATTACAGCAGCAGCAGTAGCGACCGTGGCTAATTATCCTCCTTTTCCTCGAGACAATCACATCCAGCAGAAATCCGAGTCTAGGATGTGGAGCATGGTGGAGGTGATTCTTAGGACTGTGACTCAAGCTGATTTTTGTACAAAGATATCACAGCCATGGTGTCTGGGTATCACAGACAGACAGCAAGGGACACAAACTCTGAAATTTGAGGTACGTGTTTATAAGTGTAAATAATCCATAATGCTACTACTTCAAATTTTTCATTAAATATGTTCTGTAAATGACTTTATTTGCAAAAGCTTTATTTTCACTTAATAATGCAAGACTGTCTCTGTGTGAAAATTTCATTCTTGTGTATATTTCTTTAGGTAAAGGTTATATACTACAATAGTCGGAAGTTTTGAAAATTTTGTCTTGCTTATAAATACCAAACACCCATCTTGCAAAAAAAGGTGTAGGGAATGCTTGGTGATGTTCAGTATTATTCTCAGACTGTAGCCTCAATAGGATAATTCTGCATTCTATTTTAAGAAACCTGTGATGTGTGAGAAATTTAAAGATGATACCCTCAGCTGTTTACTGAAGGAGGTCAGCCAGGTCTGTACGTCATTTCCCACACAGAAAATGTACAGCATTCTAAAGGAAAAGCAGGAGGACGAAATCATTGAGGAAATAGGTGAATGTACATTATTTACCAGCATACCACAAATCTTAGTATTAAGATATAAAGAATCTGAAGTAACTTTACTGTATACTGGTTTATTTTCACCTCACGTTATATAGGCCTTATCAACAAAACAATTTTGCATCAGTTTAAAATCACCAAAACAGACTGAAAACAAGGCCAAATGGGAAGAAAATGGGGGCAAAAGTTTCCCTGTATACAGTATACAAGTTTTGTGTGTATGCTCTCTCCCTCTCCTTGGTGAAGTGGATACATAGTTTTTGCCACATTGTCCATCAGTGTGTGTGAAACAAGGACATGTTTTAAGACCATTGTCACGGAGTATAGAGAATGTCTTTGCAACTTCAGTTTATTTGAATTTAGAATTTGCCAATTGTTAATGCAAGACATTCTAACCAATTAACTAGTTAATCATATCAAAATACAAGCTCTATTTTTATACATGAGAAGACTGAAAAATGTTGGTAAAATTCTGCTCATGTTGATCAGAACAGTAAACATTTCAATAGGAAATAAAAAATTGAGAAAAATGTCTGAGATATCAGAGATCATATTAACAATTTTTCCGAGCTGAAAGCTCAAGTGAGCTTTTCTGATCATATTTTGTCTGGCGTCTATCTGTAAACTTTTCATATTTTCGACTTCTTCTCTAGAACTACTGTGCCAATTTCAACCAAACTTGCTGCAAAGCGTCCCTTGGTGAAGCAAATTCTGTTTTCTTCAAACGTTGGTCAGTGCCCTATTTCAAGGGGAGGTAATTAAGATTAAGTGAAAAATTAATGGCATCTTTCGAAAATATTCTTCTGAAGAACCACTGGGACAGAAAAGTTGAAACAGAGTTGAAACAAAGTTTTATGTAGGAGTATATAGGAAAATTTTTTAAAGATCTTCTTCTCAAGAAAAGCAAAGCCATGAAGGGTCATATTTTTATGGAAGCATCCTCAGTAGTGTAGATTCATGTTTGTTCAAATCATGACCCCTGGGGTAGGGTGGGGCCATTGAAGTTTACATAGGAATATTTTAGAAAAAATCTTTAAAAAATCTTCTCAAGAAAAGCAAAGCCATGCTTGGTTATTAACTATTCGGAAGCATCACAAGGTAGTGTAGATTCATGTTTGTTCAAATTATGAAACCCTGGGGAAAGGGTGGGGCCACAATTGATGACCAAAGTTATACATAGGAATACAAAGGAAATTCTTTTAAAAATCATCTCAAGAACAGCAAAGCCATGATTGGTAATACATGTATATTGAAGCATCCTCATATAGTGTAGATTCAGATTTGATCAAATCATGACCCTCAGGGGTAGGGTGTGACCACAATGAAAGTTCAAACTTGTAGAAAATTTAGCAGTTAGTCAAAGAAATATGTAAGCATCCTTAGTTAGTGTAGATTTAATTTTGTTCAAATCATAACCCCCCCCCCCCTTTTTAGGGGTAGGTCAGGACCACTTATGCAACTTTTTAATAGTAAATACTGAACTGATTTTTGCTTTTTTCCTAGCCAAAGTGCTCAGGTTCCAATGCCACCTCCTAAATGGCATTGAAATATACAATGGCTTATTTTTAAAACAGACTTATTTTCAAGTAAATTTCAGTGCAAGAAATAGGTGGCTTATTTTCAAAAACCAGCTTTATAATACTAAATCTGGTTAATTTTCAAGATTTTCTGGTAGGTGAAAACATTAACATATCAACATTTAGAGGTTTTTCAAAATTGAATTTTAAGAACCCTCTATATACTGCATACTAGAGAGTTCTGAATTTGTGGTATTTTTATGCAGATAGAGTGATCTGCCCTTTGATCAAGAATAAATTAAATTGAAATGCAAAGTTTATTACTTAATTTGGGATCAAATCAAGCATTCATAACACTTTAATAGGCCAAAATGAATAGAACACTTCATGTGCAGGTATTTTGCCCACTCAAGTAAACAACAGTGATTTATGCTCATCAGTACTTCATTGTCTTTGAACATTTTTCCTGGGGGTAAATGCAAGGCACCCTATGCTGAAAATGTGATAGATAAGCTCAATGCTTACACCTTTACACACTATAATTTTCTCAATGTCCAAAAAATATTTTCCTCTAGTGTATAGAGGGTCCTTAAGGAAATTGAGTTCAAATTTACACATATTTAACATTTTTTTGGACTAACAGATAACAGATTTTCCAACCAGTTACCTTTGATCCAACAGAGTAACCATTTAACCTGTTACAAATTTCCATCCCTATTTTTATCCAAATTTAAGCATGATAATGAGCAATTCAGAGTTGTCCCTAAGACCCAGGGGCCGGGGAATTTCACTGGCTATAATGACGTAATCCCCCGGTTACTCTGTAATCCCGTCTTAACCCCCTGTTAGGAGAGGAACCCCAAACCCCCTCCTATTATTTTTAATGTCCCTTGCTATTTCAATTCTTAGGGACAACCCTGCAATTTTGTGAGCTTGACTGAATTGTTGATTTAATGTAGCAATTTGTATGAGCTAGACTAAATTTGTTGATTTTCTAAAACTTGTTACATCTGTTACAGAAGAGAAGTCCAAAGAGAAGGAAAAGAAGGGGAAGCCAGAAAAAGAAAAACCCAGGAGAAGTTTGAGGAGAAGGAAAGAGGTGATAGAAATTATTGATGTTGGAGGCAGCCCTGAATCTAAGGCAGACCAAGACAAGATGGAGGACAAACAGGAGAACGGTTAGAGTCACTTGATTATTTCATATCTTGTTTTCAGAGTCCTTTCAGGTATTTGTTTGGAAAATTTCTTTGTTTCATCAAATCAGAGATCTGTCAGACCAGCCAGATTGATTAACTTCAAATCCCGGCCAAAAGGATTGAATATGCCTCTTATTGCCATCTTTGTAAATCATTTCTGTTGTTTTAGTTGCCCCCACCCTGTCTTGGCCTGAGAAGTACCAGCCTTTTCACTCGTCTGAGATTATTGGTAACACAGCTATCATCAAGAAGCTGAAATCTTGGCTTCTAGAGTGGAAACAGTGTCTGGACAAAGAGGCTAAGAAAGCCAAACTGTTAATGATGAAAGAGAAAAAGAAGAACAAAACACTGAATGAGGAAGGTAAGGTCACAGGTTTTTTTTATTTCTAAGAATACAGATCTTTTCTTCCATAAGAAGCAGATCATGCAGTTTTGTGAATTGAAAAGCAATAATCAGATATAAAGCAATAACTTTGCCTTGAAAAATTTAAAATGCATTTTATTTTCATTTTGGCCTGTTTTGCATTTTTTTTTTCTGATTCTCCTGAAATTAGGGTTGGCGGATCTAAGAAATAAAAAAAAAAACAACTGTGGCCTTAAATGTTAGGAATTATAATAATCAGGCAAATGGTTTCATCTTATGACATAGTTCTTTGATTCTTCCATCAACTGTAAATGCATATTAATTATTTTACATCTGCCTCTAAATGAATTTTGAGGATTAAAGTTGGAGGCCCATTTCTTTATGGGACAGTGTTTCAATCCTCTAAAATGATGTTTCAGAGGAGGAAGAGGAGTGGTGGACAGATGATGCCAGTGACTTTGATATGGACAGTGACTCTGATGAGGAGGAGAGACTCTGTAATACTGCAATGCTGACCGGTCCCCTAGGAGTGGGCAAAACGGCCACTGTCTACGCATTAGCACAGGAACTTGGTTTTAAGGTTGGTATCCAACCAGAAAAGAATCATTTAAAGTTCAATTGTATTTCCAGTTACGTTTAATTATAAAGTGTTCCCTTCTTGCATATATGTAGAACTGAATGAGATGCATGAAAAATCTCTTAATGAAAAGTCTGCTGTAATTGATTAGGTTTTTGAGGTGAATGCATCATCCAGCAGAAATGGCAAGAGAATTCTGGCTCAGCTACAGGAAGCCACACAATCACAGCAGGTCTCCAAGCACCAGTTCAGTGGAACCGGCACACCCAAAAAACTGAAAAATCGTAAGTGTAGCCATTATAGTACACCAACAAACTATTTGGATTTTGATTTTGTGGCATTGGAGACTATTACAGAATGTTTATACTCTTAAATGTTAAGTAACTTTGTAAATGAAGTGGGGCATAGATGCTATAAGGAACAAAACATCATATTCATCCTTATATATTATGCTCTGTCTATGATCTGTCTATCATCTGAGTTGTACAGCTTGAATAAACTTTACTGAAGTTTCAGCAGTGTAGAGATTATCACTACTAAAAAAAACCCAGGTTATTTTTTATTAATAAAGTAATGTTCTAAATTCACCAGTTCAACCGAACATAAATTATATATAAAATAAAACTCAAAACACTTTTATATAGGATGAGCTCGCATGCGCGAGTGCAACAGACTTTAATGAAGTGAGTACAGTAGACAAAGCAGTTTCAGTTTGACCTCTTATCCATATCATTCTACAAAAGAAAAAGACTCAAATAAATCATCAACATCAAAACGAACAAAAACGTACGAAATATCGATACTGGAAGGGGTGGGGTGGGGGATTAGTCTGTTGCAATGTAGCAGCGAACTTCCAATGACTTATAACACCCGAAAATCTACCTTTTACGTGACTGAATCATGCGTAGCACGGATTCAACCTATTCACCATAGACAAAATGAAAAACCAATCGATCTCCTTTACCGATAGATCTATTCTGCATACGTAACAAACACACGTGTTTTCCCATAACTTTTATAAATATATTTGTTCTTGCTTATTATGGTATACATTTGGTACATGTTCATGAATTTTCTGATTTTCCATTTTACCAGCGCCAAATGTGGTTTCATCTACTAAACAAAAACCCACAGTGTTCACCAATTTGTTCAAGAAAGCAGCAACACCAAACTCTGTCACTCCCACTGAGGAAAAAAGCAAACCAGGCAGGAAGAAACGGAAAAGAGACGAAGACACTGACAAGGACTACAAGGCAGAGAAAGAACAGAAGAGAAGGAAGAAAGGGGAAGACACCACGAAGATAGTTCCACAGGAAAAGAAAAAAAGTCTTAATCTTTCCTGTACATCACTTATCCTGTTTGATGAGGTTATTTTGTATACAAGTAGCATTTAATGTTAAATTTATTCTGCAGAATACAAATAAACTTTTTATTTTATCAATTGTTAACAAAACTTTCAAATTTGAGTAGAATATGTTGGCTTAACTTCTTAACTTTTAATTCAGCATTTCAGGAGAAATGAAGTTTTAAAAAATGATCAATATTATGAGATACCTGTATGACTACACGTGTTTATCTATCAGAAGCTAATTACTTCTTAAAGCATATTTGATATCTGTAGTAATATAAAGTCATAAGTGAGGCATAGTCATTGAAAAATGATCTTGCTAATTTCCAACCAGCAAGTGTTTGAGTGTTAAAATTTCATATTGAAGGTTGACTTGGTGTTTGAAGCTTTTGACAAGGGCTTTTGGGCAGCAGTGAAGAATTTCATGGACACCACAAAAATTCCCATCATTCTGACCAGCAATGATGTCTCCTTACCACAGAAGTTTGAAGGCAGATTTGAACATTACAAGTTCAAAGTACCCCCAGTAGTAAGATCTAAGAACATTTTCTTTCAACCTCATTATTCTTTCCGGATATGAACCATACAAGTATGTTTGAAATACAACTTGTCAGCCCAACATACATGTAACATTTTTTATGCACTTTTAAAAATTCCAGTGCACATACGTGTGTACTATTTAAATATAAATTTTGTGCTGATTAGACAGACTGGTGAGTCAGTTTTGCAGGGATTGTCTCATTATTTCCTTAGGTTCCTACCTCTTGCTACTTGAGACTGGTGGCTTTGGCGGAGAATGTTAGGATGGACTGGGACGAAATTGTCAATCTTGTTTCCATTTTCAATTCTGACATTCGTCGGGTGTTACTGACCTTGCAGTTTTGGCTTAATTCTGGAGGAGGTCGTAAGGTCAAGAGGTCAATCAAAGAAAAAGAACCTGAAACACCTCAGCAGGGTCTTCCACGTGTGCCAGTTATTGATGAAAATTCCTGTTCCCAGGATGCATTTGTAGGGTTCAGAAGTGGAACAGGAACTGATTTGAACCTACTGGGTAATGATGAGGATGATGACTTTGTGTCCATTAAACCAGTAGCATGTAAAAGGAAGCAGGTAATCTGTGATGATGAGGGGTCTAATCTCACTCCACCTGTACATGATAAAGTCCTGATGGATGCTCAGAAATGTCCTGCCATGAATGTGTCCTGTCTAGAGAGTATGCTGGGACTTCCTATAAAAAATGAAATGGGCATTCTTGGATTTCTTACCAAAACTCTTAAGGTATTTATTTAGATAGCTCTGTAATTACTGAGTAATTCTGAATTGAAAATCATAAAATATTTAAATATTTTGTTATTGCTATGATCAGTTCATAGCAATTCATTGTGATTCAATTCAATTCATTGTGAATATTCATTTATTTTGAATAGTTATAACTAATCGAGAAAGTAAGAATCAAGGTAAAACAGTTAAATAAACTGAATTCATTGTAATGATTCAAGTGAGAGACTCGTAATGCACATCTACATGTATGTAATAGGAAGGTGACAGCAGGAGTGAAGAGCTGGCCATCCAAGCCTGTCAACAGTACCTGAAGTTAAAAGTGGATCTGCTGTACGGCCACCACCTAGACATGTTACCTCTACACAAAGTCACGGTGGATAACCTGGGACCTATAAAACAAGCTTCCTCTCCCCTCAAAACCAAAAGAAGGAGAATCAAAATCATCTCGGATCTTTACGACAGTGAGGGGTCAGACAGCGAATCTACAAATGTCACAGAGATTAGTCCCATTGTTGAAAAGTCGCATAAACAAAGCGAGACAAACTCAAAGGAGCTCATAGGGTCTTTGAGTGAGATGGCTCATTTCTATGACAGTTTATCATTTATGGACATGCTGCGGTATCAGGAAGAGAGGATCATGGGTAATCAGAACAGTGGGTGTGGAGTGACTGAGGAACCGCGGCTACATGAACATTCAGAGTTCTGGATGGAGGACCATACTAGTGCAGTATGCTCCACTATTGAGTGGAAATGTTTTAGTAAGCTCCATCGTAAACTGAACGAAATAACCGTAAGTCTTCCAGACAAAGAAGATGAGAGATTTAAAATTCCTGTTCTTAATGGTAGAAGTTCTACTCTGACTCATGGATTAGCTAGTCCAGATAACAGGTAACCCACATCTCATCATTTTACTGGCTTGCATGCTGGTATCAGATTGATGAACAAATAACATGAAAATATGATGGAAATAAGAGAACAGTATGTTTCATGTAAATTCATTTAAAATTTCTGCTTTTACAATGCAATTATGATTAATTTTGATTACATCATTTATTTTCCTTTCTTGCAGATCTCAGAGCTCAGTTAAAAAAGCATATGAAAATGTATTGTCTAGTCTGCCTTTATCAGTAACTGGCCAGAAATCTGTTGTCATGTCAGATTATCTCCCCTACCTAAGATCCATAACCAGGGATGAACAGATAAGACAGGCAGCTAAAATCAAAAGAAGGTCTGTTTTTATGAGAAATTGTTACACTAAGACTCCAGTACATTGGGATATGGACAAAAAAATAAACTTTTGTGTACTCCCCCCCCCCCCCCCCCCCGCCTCAATTTTATCAACCTGTATGTAGATAACTGTATTGCTCAAACGACCTTTTGTTATCTGCGTAGGGTGTCATCAACATAACCTTTTAATCTGTTCAAGTTCTTTTCTGATATTGCTGAACCAATCTGAATCAATTTTGAATTATTCATGTACTTGTAGAATATATAGGTAAAGGAGAAAAAAATAGGATGAATTTTTATAGTCCCCATCCCCTATGGGTCTGAGGGGTGGGGCCAAAATCCTAAAAATTAATGAAATCTAAAAGATTTTCACTTCTCCTGAACACCAAGCAGGCAAACTGTTTGCATGACCATAATATGCTTTTCAGGGTTTAAGCCTTTAGGTGAAACTAAGTTGATGGATTTACATGTATCAAATTTTCCTGTTGACATCAGAGAAACTATTACCCTCTACCAGATCAAAGGCTGTGGGTTCAGGCACTAGGGCATATGTTGCGGTTTAGCTAATTATATACTCAAATAATTTTTGCTTAGAACATATAGCACACAACTACTTGCATGAGTCTGTCTAATCTGTCTAATCAAAATGTTAAATAGGGGGTGCACAATTTTAATTGGTATAGGAGGAGTTGTAGATAAGAGATGAGTACCCACAATGTTTAATAAAGAATGGCAAAGTCCATATTTGATGGGGATCCCAATGTATCTTTTTGATGTAAACATAAAATAGGAGGTGCAAAAAGGCACTGTGTAATAAAGATTCTGTGAAAATTTTATTAAGTTGCTTTCAGTGATGTTATAGGAGTTGCAAATAAAAGATTGGTACCCCCAATATTAAAGAATGGCAGTGTCCATGTTTTGATGTTGATGTTTGGGAAAATTCCAAATATGCCTCTGATCAAAACATAGAATAGGAGATGCACAGTGGCACTATATGAAAGTTTCATAAAATTGCATTCAGTGGTGTAAGAGGAGTTGCAGATAACATGGATATAGGATGGTTATCCTCAAGTGTTACGAGAGGGACAGACAAACCCTCACTATATATCCTGCACTTTTCAAATGGAATTGGGGGGGGGCATAATAATGGTTTGCAGCAAGAAATATTTGAAAGTAAAAGAAGGTCAGGAAACTTGCCGTCATTTCTCATGCGTTATTCTTGAATAATAAAGTCTGTTTGCCATGTTTTTCATCACCCACATTTTGTGGGTGAAAAACAGATACACATGTACCGGTAACTAAAAACTGAGAAAACTTAAAAGATGCTTATGCTTATGACAGGTTGTGTTTGTCCTAAAGGTCTGCCATAGTACATGTAATGACCATTAAGTCATTTATACAAGGTCAAAGTCATTCAAAGGAAAATTTGCAACAAAGCAGTGTACAGTTGTATATAGAATTCTTGGGAGATTGGAATTTTACATGACACTTGTGAGACCATCTGGTATCACGGATTATCAACTGCTTGTTTGTTTACATTACACCATCACAAAATTTTAATAGTATACATGTTTTTAAAGAAGAAAATATTTTATCTTTTACTGCCAAGTTCTAAATGTCAGAGATTGTTTGTTGCAGGTTCCACCATTATTTTGATCAGATAGGACTTCCTCTAAAGGACCAGACCCTGGAAGTTTTAAGATTGTCTCTTCCTTTGAATAGCTGATTGATGTACTGTGATTTTAAAATTTCTGTATATTTTATTATATTCTTCTATGTGTGCAAGTAAGTGTATTTCCTATTTGCAAATTCTTAATACATTTCAGATGCAATACTGTATGAATTACGGGTGACAAAAACTTTGAAATAGTGAATGTCAATCCTAATGGACTTTAGTTAGAATGTAATATTTTATTTAAGTGTAATTGTCAGGATGGGGAACTTAAAAATGATTTAAGTAATGAGTCTGGAGTGGTTTCTAAATATTGTGTAATATCCTTTTATGTAGAAATAACTTAATATGTAGATAAATTATTAAATTATGTATAAAAAAAAGATTCATACTGTACTACAAGTATTATAGATATGAAGCATGTCTGCAATGAAATGTTTTATCAAAACATTAAAATGATAATGTAAAAGAATGAGGAAGTGTGGTTTTTTTTTTTTTTTTTTGAGCAAAGATTAGTCATTCACTCACTTAAGCCTTTGCAGGAATGTTAAGGAAACACTCAGCTACTGTAGATTCTTTATTTTACGCAAGTACTTAATATCGCAAAATGGCTCCGAGACGTCAAATGGCGAGAACAATAATTTGTGAGTGGATGGTTGATCAAGAGATTTTACATGGATTTCAGTACCATGAAAATAAAAATGAGTAATTTTATTTTGCGATTGATGCTTCTTGCGAAATTACGCGATAATTAATTCCTCACGTACATTTAGGAATCTACAGTATCTGACTTGACTAAATCAGTGATATGACGTCACAGTAGGGAAGATGACGTCAATTTTAGAACACAAGTTTTCTTAATATTGGTATTAAGAGATGTATAGAAACATATAAATGGGGTAGTGTTGTACTATTAACTTTTTTACTAAGGAATATATTGCTATTAATAGCAGTCACGTGATGATGTGGTAGTGCACTTCTTGGGCTCAGACACTCTGTAGTCTGTATGCAATAGTTATTAATATTATTATGTTTTGTTGCCGGCTTTGATGAATTATCATTTGAACTTAAATTTCTTAAAACAGCCTAAATTTCCCAAGAAATTATTTGAATGGTTCCTTAACATACCTGCGTTAAGCTTATAAAAGAAATTGAAAAGGAAGGGAAATTAGTTCTGTAGACTAGGACAATGTTCAGATTATGGCAAGTGTAGGTCTGCAGTAGGAGGTTAAAAGTTTTAAATATTAATATGAAGCATCAAAATCTGATGAAGATTCAAGTCTTTTCAAAGGTAAGGGGCTAGGTAGGGGCAATGATTGTGAAACAGAAATATTGACTTTAATTTTAGGATGATGTAAGAGATTTCATCTATCCACATGTACAAATTCATATGTCTGGTACAGATTGTTGACTCATGCATGTTTTCTGAACGTTAGCATGTTTGCAGATAAATATGAAATGGACTTTGTTATCTGGGTATGAACCTTAAAGGGGCCTGGACACAGTAGCATTGTTTACAATTTTAAATGTCCATTTTTATTCAAATTAATGATTTGAAATTGCATGAATATTCTAAGAATTCAATGATAACATTCTTCATAACATCATGTCAGACACCTGTGTGTGTAAACAGGGCATGAGCTCTGTTAGGGACAATACTGGTGACTTGGTTTTGCTTTCTTGCATGTCTACTCTGAACTTTCTGGATTATAGTTTTCATTAATACACAACAAAATTTCTACTTTCTGAAGTATCATGGATAAAGTTTACTTTGTGAAAGTGCAAGGATATGTGTCTATCAAATGCGTCCAGAAAATCGTAGATTTAAATGATTTCCAGATAAAAGAATTTTCTTAACACGCTTTTAATATATTCTGATGTGAAATGCTCAAGCAACATATGTCTTGATATTATACAGAAAATGAGCTTCAAATCTGTGTCCCAGCCCCTTGAAAGGTTAATCATCCTTTTGTTCACTGATCATATAAAGGTGCTTTTACGTTGATGATTTTTGGAAGGAAATATAATTTATAAGAAGTGGAAAGCTGTCAGTATGACAACAAACCAGATATTCTTTGATATTTATCATGTATAGACAAATTTGGCACTTGCAAGAGTTGTTTCCCTTTGTCATGATATACCCATTTTTCTCACTATATCATTTGTAATTTTCGTGTAAAAGTTTTAAATATTTAAACATACCTTCAATGGGAAAGTAGGGGGCAACAAAGGAAATGATGAACATACACATGTGAATTTTATTTATTAGATACTGCCCCATAAAGTTGGTTTCATCTAAAACATGTTATAGAGGCTGTGGAAAAGCCCTTATGACCATAAATATCTGACCTCGGAAAAGGAAATAACTCCTGTAAACATGATCTTTGTCTATTACAAAAACTTTCTATTCTGAAAAACTGGAGGAGGTGATTTCCCAAAACAATCAATGTACCTTATTAGCATATTTTGAAAAGAAATGACTAAACTCAACAAATGGATTTTCCCCATAAATGATCAAAGTACCATGCACATCTCTGATATATGTACAATTGATCTGCAAAATAAAGCTTCTATCTTGAAAATTGAAGGAGGGGTATCGAGACAAATGATATACCCTACAGGCCTACATGTAACTACAATATACACTGTATATGCAATAATTAGTAAAAAAAAAAAGAAAAAGAAAGAAAAAAAAAGAAAAAAAAAAAGACTATGTTCAACATATGGCAGCTTTCTCATGAATAATCAAAAAATCAAAATCCCAAGTAATATGCATACCTCTGATATAGGTTCAATTGCTCTACAAAACAAAAAGTTCCCATCTTGAAATCTGAAGGAGTTATCCAGACAAACAGGATAGCCTATATACAATATTTTGCAAAAAATGACAATTCAACAGTTGGTATTTTTGGCATATATTGTAATCCAAATTTGAAATCCAAGTACTATGCACATTTCTGATATACGTATGTACAATTAATATGCAAAATAAGAACTTCCTATCTTGAAATCTAGGAGGAGCTATCAAGACAAATGATGTACCCAATATCAAATCTTTTGCCCCCCCCCCCCCCCCCCCCCAAAATGAATGAGTTAAACAGTTGATACTTTTCTCATAAATGATAAAATCAAAATCCAAGCAGTATGCATATCTATGTGCAATAATAATAATAAACAAGAGGCCAATGGGCCACATCGCTCACCTGAGCACATTGGCTAGGCAAAAAGCACAACTCGGTTCAGTATTAAAAAAGATTCGGGGGGGGGGGGGGGGGGGGGAGGGGGAGTTTGAATTTTAAACTACCTGATGATGCTTCCATGTCAATATAACAAATGGCTTTGTTGTCCTTGAGAAGATTTTAAAAAAAATTTCCCATATATTCCTTTGTAAAAATTTGATCCCCCATTGTTTCTCCTCCCTATCCCAGTGGTCATCATTTGAACAAACTGGAATCTACACAACCTGAGGATGCTTCCATATCAATATGACTAAACATAGCTTTTCCGTTTTTGAGAAGAAATATTTTTCTATATGTTCTTATGTTAAACTTTCGATCCCCCATTGGGCCCCACCCTACCCCTGGGGGTCATCATTTTAACAAATTTCAATCTACACTACCTGAGGATGCTTCCACATAAATATGATCAATCAGGGCTTTGCTGTTCCTGAGAGGAAGATTTTTAAAATTTTTCCTATATATTTCTATGTAAAACCTTGATCATCCATTGTGGCCCCGCCCTACCCCTGGGGGTCTTCATTTGAACAAACTTCAATCTACACTACCTGAGGATGCTTCCATATAAATATGACTCATCATGGCTTTGCTGTTCTTGAGAAGAAGATTTTTAAAGATTTTTCCTTTATATTTCTATGTAGAACTTTGATCCTCCATTGTGGCCCAGCCCTACCTCCGGGGGTCATCATTTGAACAAACTTGAATCTACACTACCCGAGGATGCTTCCACATGAGTTTCATCTTTCCTGGCGCTGTGGTTCTTGAGAAGAAGATTTTTAAAAGATGCTATTAATTTTTTACCAATTCTTTATTATCTCCCCTTGAAAGAGGGCATGGCCCTTCATTTGAACAAATTTGAATCCCCTTCACCCAAGGATACTTTGCGGCAAGTTTGGTTGAAATTGGCCCAGTGGTTCTTGAGATGAAGTCGAAAATGTTAAAAGTTCACAGACAGACGGACGCCGGACAAAAAGTGATCAGAAAAGCTCACTTGAGCCTTCAGCTCAGGTGAGCTAAAAAGTTTGAAAGCAGGAGGAGTTGTTCAGACAAATAATGTACCCTTTTGACAGCCACCTGACCATTTCAATATCAAGATTTTTCCTACAAAAAATCCTGTTAAAATTGAATAAAAACAAAAAAACTTTTTTTCCAGTTTTTATTTTCCACTTGCTAACACTGTGGTGATAAACTCTCATTCCAAAGTCTCTGTCTGTATAATCTATATTGAGAGAACACCATCATAGACTAGAAAATCAAGCTGTTGACCACAATCAATCCTTAATGTTAAAATACTTAAGCATCATCATGTTTACATTGTATCATCAATAAAGTTAGTATCAGACACTGACTTGAGTTTCTGAAGTCTCTAAATTTAATGAACATGTTTATAATAAATACATTTTAAGTTCTGAGAATTCATACATTCAAATAAAGAATAGAAGACAGAAATATGTGGTAAAAATTCATGAAAATAAAATCCCCACCCACAACATTCACCTGTCCAATGATGATAATTAACTAATGCTTAACAAAACAATTCATGAATAAATATTTGTTTTTAAAGCCCATTTACAATATCATGCAGCAAAAATGGTGTATTTAAAATAAAATGCTCAATTTATCTTTCTGAGAATCTGGCAATCAATAGACATACATGTACTCATTTAGCATCACAACATTTGCATGAAGATTGGGTATGTATTCATTTTATGGCATTAGATGTCAACTGATTAGTATTAAGAGTATATTTTTGCAATTGTCTTTGTTAATTTGGCAGCTAGAAAGGCCAGTCTACAGGTATAAAGTTTTGCCCTTGGAACATTACTACGGGCCATATCACAGAGAATCCATGTAAAGTCAAGACAAAGATACTTCATCACATCATATCACCAGGCGTCCACCCAAATCTGTATAACTCAGTCTGTCTAAAATATCTGATGTTCCCATTCTTGAAATTTTCAGGAGAAATCCCTGATATTTTGGTTTCTTCTCTGCTGCAGATGGTTATGTCTGTTTGGACAATATTTGTATTTTGTGTTTATGAAGATAGTTTTCTTTAGCTTAATAAGTTCCGAATTTCTTTGTGTATGTGACATAAGAAGTCTACGTATGAAGCACTTCCACTATGTCCTTTGTCTTCTACAAGGAAGTGGTTAAACCATGGCTCCAACTTGTCCCGCTGTCGAACAATTGTTAACTGTAAAGAGATCATACATGTGTGTCAAAATTTTTTTAAATAATTAAAGAAAATGAACTACTGATAATTCAAATTCACTTGTTTCTTACCTTCATATATCTACCCCGTTCACTTCGTATTGAATTGATTACATCCCTTAATTTCTGTGATACAGGATTATCAAGGTCAATCAATTTACACTGAAAGGAAATCAAAACCAATCTTCAAAATATACCAGTGAAATGTACATAATGTGAATAACTTCCTGAAGAAAGATATTGCTTTATAAAAATAATTTCTTTCAAAAATAAGAACATACTTGAAGACCATCTCTACATTTTAAAACTCATGACAAAACCACAAATACTGTTACTCAGTTTTACACTGGAAAGGTCACACTTACCTTATCAATGTCTATCTGGGCAGCACTTTGTACTGAAAACACCTGTTGAACCCAGTGTGGCTCTACATTGTGACCAATCCATAAGAACATGGAAATACCATTCTCTGTAAAACATAAGGAATTAAGCTTGTGTTTCTCATCTTAAGAATCAATAACTAGGTTATTAACATAGGAATGGCATAATCTATCGACATATAGTGAACATAAATAATACACAGCAACATACCTAGGAGATACACGCCATTATCTCGGAGTCTTTCTGCAGAACATCTGATGGCTGGAGGAATTCGGTCTCCATGGGATTCCAAGTCATGCTGCAAAATTCCAGATGTTAAAGCATAAATTCTCTTACTCTAAAATGATAACATACATGCATCTTTCATGATTTAAGCATTATCAATACAGCATTATAAAACTAACTGACCATGGGTAACAGCCTTGGATAGAAGAACACTTGAGTTGATTCAACATCCATAGAATTGAGTTTATGCATAAGGTAACTTCTATCATCGGTAGATATTTCAGATCCTGTAAAACAGACATAGAAAAATGATTTGAGAATTTTTATCATGTTATAAATCCCTAATTACACATGTAAGTAAAACTCGGAACAGCTCTATCAACATGTAGTTCCAGTTACTACCATTTCATTATAGTAGAAATAATTACATGCACTGCAAACCTAAAAGGACTGAAAATTGCTTTGTACTGTACATGATTCTTTTTAATCATTGTTTTGTATTATATACATATAGTACACAAGACTTTGATATAAGCAGATATTCACTAACAGTGTTTTTGCAAGGAAAAATTACTTATCAAATCCCTGTATATAAGAAGAGTCTCAACCCTTACCACCTTGTAGAGCATCGCTTTTAATGACACAGTTGGCGTACAGAGGGAGGAGTTTCATTGACTCTGGCAGAATCAGCTGACCTACAGAAGAGGGGGAGGCACAATTCTTCCTGTAACAGGCCAGAATCTGGGCTACCTGGTTCATTACTCCCTCCCTCACCTGCTTGGGGTTAGAGTTCAGGCCTGTTTTGACAGCTGTAATGAAAATTCAAATCAAATTTACCTACTCTATACCTAAAATCAACTGCCTGGATTATGTCAATGTTATATACATGTGCATTCAACATTTATTAATGAAGTAGTTTTCAAAAGGTAAATACACAAGGATATTTAACAAGATTGATGATAATACTGCAGTGTCAAAGAAAATATGTACCGTGTTTGGCCATGTAATTGATGAGGGTATCTAACTCGGTGTTTCTGAAGAGGTCAGCCATTTGAGTACAGCAGTTTAGAGACAGGTTGTGTATCCTTAGTCTCCTCTGTCCTCCAACACTGGTAAACAGCACTGCTACCTAAAACATGACCAAGAATTCAAATAATTACACATAGTTTATTTAGACAAGCAAATATTAATAATGAGTGTTTTGAATGGTTTGTTACCTGAATATATGCACCATCAGCTTCATTTAATTTATCATCATGTTTAATCTCAACATTAATAGCTTGTTCTTTGTCTATAGCTGCCAGCTCAACATCTGTTGTGTTAGACATGTAGAAATTGCCCAGGAAGTCTACAGCTCGAATACCTGTAACCAAGCCAGCAAAAAAGTGTTGATAAGAAGGCAATTTTAAAATTTTTGGAATGGCCATTAATAACACCTGTCAATATTTCTCATTGAGTGACCAGACTTACCTGTACTGGCTCTGACACGAAGAATAGCATCAAAAGCTGTCTGGTTCTTTACATTATGCTTCAGATCTTCCAGGAAACGATCACCATCCAAGTCAGCCTGTAAAACAAAGTAATTCTTGTCAACAAAACTGGCACAGTGCCCACCTTGGAGCATTTATAAACTGCAGGTCTCTCTATCAATACGGAATCACAGAGGATAGGTTAAATTTTAATGACTGGCACACCCAACCCAAAAGGTGAAGAACATATAACATTAGGTCATTAAGGATATCAATTCACACACACAAGGTGAAATCTGCTTCACATTTATAACTTACTCTGTCCTCCTCAACCTAAGAATGTAAAACAGGACAACAGTGTTTTCTGTAAAATCAGTTTTTACATGTATGTGTATTAGTACATGTATCAAATAAAACCCTCTATAACTTATGATACATTTTCCTGTAAGCTTTTTAATGTTTATTGGATTCACATGTAAATATGTGTGATTTGTACACACCTGAAAGTAGCTGTACTTGTATATATTTCCTCCTGTGAGACGACACACTTCTGATATTGTGGCAATATCGATGTATGCGTTAGGGAACAAAAACAAGTCCACACTACAACCTGCAGTGACACACTCCTGGCCTAGCTTAGTGTAGAAGTTGCTCTGGGGAGTCAGAATTGTCTGCAATATAATATTTTCATGACATAGATCAAATACACCTTAATTTTAACATTCACTCAAATATTAAAGCATGCTTAATACATTTTGTACATTACTACTACATGTATTTTTTACTTTTTCTTTCTCAGTTCCTAGAAGTTTCCGGTCATCCCTATTCTTTAATTTTCCTGGAGCCTCTGCTATTGGCAGAGAAGTATGAAATATGTACAGTTTTCCACTACGATCAGCAGACTTTAAAGCATCTAAGCCGGCTTGAATGACTGGCCCTAATACAGTTTCTGTCTCTCTAGACTCTGCAAACATCTGAGGGATCTGTGATAACAAACTGTCAATGACTGCCTCAGATTCTGAAAGTTTCACAAGAAATCCATCCAACAATGGCACAAACACATCATCCAAGTCTGATACAACCAACATCTGGGGCTGGGCCAAGTTACCCTGGAAAACAAAATCAAAGACACTGACACTACTGTATGATTCTATTGTTCTATGATATTCAAAATTCTTTTTTCTAATTGAGCATGTTAGATGGAAATAAGTGGCATACCTTTACATTATAGAAATGAATTTCTTTAGCATATGTAACAAATCCAACTCGGATTTCTGACTCATCCTGACCAACTTCTCTGCAGAAAAAAAAGAAGAATCTTAAAAAAAAATTTAATAGGGACCTCATACTTTTCTCTCTTGAATTTCTCAATAAATGAATTTATTTAATGTTCATATGATTGATTAAATTGTATTTCATGCTTACTTGAACAGATATTCAACAAGCAGTCAATCAAGAGCAAAGGTTTCATTGCAGTAAAAAACAGATAAATTAAAACAGTGAATACATACTTTGGCAGATTAACTAAGACATCTTCTTTTAATCTCTCGCATATCAAATGTACTAATCCACTTTTTATACTGTTATAGGACACATCAATCATAAAAATAAATGCTGGTGCATTTGGCAATGTTCCATTCTGCAAATTCATATAAATCATATTAAAACTTCATTTTTAATACAGCAAATCAACTGCAACAAATCACAACTTAAACTCAGGTTAAGTTTATAAGTATAACTTACCTTACAATAATCTTTTGTAGCTACAAATTCATAGGAGCCTAAACACAGTTCTGGTCTGTCATAACTATCAATTCTTCTTCCTGTGTGGTCCAGATGTGCAAAATACTCTGCTGGCACTACAAAGGAGAACAAAATAAAGCATATAACAAATGTCAATTAAAAACAATTCTCAACTTCAAACACTTATTTCAATCAAAGCTGAGCCCCCCCCCCCCCCCCCCATGTCCCTTATTCAAATTTAAAACTACCAAATTCTGCTAGCTTGTTGATAGTCTTAAGCATTGAGCATTGAAGTACTCCATTTGTAAATAATGTGAAGATAACATTTTTCAAACCCCCATAAAAAAGAAAGTCACCATCAGTAGCTGCTCCACAAAACACACACTGAAATCTCCTCCCTCCATCAATAAACATCATATTGGGATTCATGTAGGCTTTACATCTCTTACATCTTACTGGTCCTATCTCCCCAAGATTTACAATTGGAGGATTCAGCTGAAGATGAAAACATCAAATTCATTTAGTTGTACTGTTCATTGAGATGTAACGCATTTTACTGTTTCACAAAAATTGTAATGCTAATGACACTTGTCATTTTTACAACAAATATAATACCTCTTCTTCTGGGAGTTTAGCGAATGGATTGATGCTTAGAGAAAATGGTACATGACAGCTCTTTAACATATCCGAGGTACAGGGAACATTGTACATTGTACTCCTCATAAAACGAGGGTTACAATTTCCTTAAAAAAATAAATAATAAAAATATTTTAAAAAACAAACCAATTTATATTCAGTGTTCATAATTCAGCTTACATCTGATGTTGAAGTAGCTAGTGGTATTTAATCTTTATGACTAATATTTCCTTTCAACTAATGGAACTGGTTTCCAGTAACCAATTTTCATTACTAAGATGTACTCAAGAACCTTACAAAAATTTCTCGTATGTAAATTGAGGTTATTTTAGAGTGATATTTACAAAACAAAACAAGTTTCCATGCAAACACCAAATCATGTGCATAGACAGTGTAACTTAATTTTTTTTTTGGTTTGTATAGGGTAGAGATAAAGTCACCCATTCCATCATATTTTGTACCCATATTGCATTCAGACCTTACCTTGATCCTGTACAGTAAAATTAGTTGTAACTGATGGTGGTACTGCCCCTTTGGCAGTTTGGAAAACCCCACTCCTATTGGCTCTGTCGTCTTCTATCACTTGAATCTGTGAATTAGAGAGAAAATGTTTTAGAGTATCTTTACATTTACTGTATGTATTTCATAATCTTTATGACCATAGTTCAAGTAAATGAGGTCAATCAGTACCATATTATTGTATACTTACTGGACTAGGCATCTGGTCAGGGTCCAGTTTTTTAGGTCCAGATGGCTGCTGCATCCCACCTGGCCCTGCCATGGGTTGAGCTCCTGGGTAGTTGGGTGGGAAGGACTGCCCTGGCATGGTTCCTCCTGGATATCGTGGCTGTCCTCCTGTTTGTGGTGGCATCTGCCCTGGGATTGTCTGGCCAGGCTGAGGAGGAAACTGACCAGGTCCAGAACCTCCATACTGATTTGAAGAAGGTAAACCACCAGGTCCTGGGGGAGGAGGAAATGAACCAGGGCCAGGCTGAGACATTATACCAGGACCAGATGGAGGTCCACTTGGTGGACCTTGTCCGTACCTATCTGTCATGGACAGTCCAGAAGGGGGTCCTTGATTCATCCCTGTAGGTGGGCCTGATGAGGGACCAGGCCTAGAATGTGGGGGCATACCACCCATCGATGATGAAACTGGAGGCATTCCTGGTGTTGTAGGTGGTGGTCCAGCCATTCCTCCAGATCGACTTGTTGGGGGACCTGGTAATCCTCCCATCTGACCTGTGGGTGGAGCCACTCCATACTGACTTGTGGGTGGAGCTCCCCCATACTGACTTGTGGGTGGAGCCCCTCCGTACTGACTTGTGGGTGGAGCCCCTCCATACTGACTTGTGGGTGGAGCCCCTCCGTACTGGCTTGTGGGTGGAGCTCCTCCATACTGACTTGTGGGTGGAGTCCCTCCATACTGGCTTGTTGGTGGTCCCCCACTATAATGGCTTGTAGGAGGACCTCCGCCATACTGACTTGTGGGAGGACCTCCACCATACTGGCTTGTGGGAGGGCCTCCACCAAACTGACTTGTGGGTGGACCTCCTAACTGGCCTGGGGCAGGTCCTCCCATATGGCTAGTAGGTGGCCGTGTTGTGCCACCCATTTGACCTGGTGGAGGTAACCCAGAACTACCTTGTGTGTTTGGGCCACCAGGTGGAAACACACGTGGCTGTCCTGATGATGTAGGAGCACCAAAGTTTTGCTGAAAAGATATGTTGAATATTAATCTTCAACAAGATGTGTTTGTGAAACACAGATGCCCCTTGCATATGGCAGCTAATGGTTGAAGTAATTTTTTTTTCCCAATGTAAATCAAACTCAAGGTCAAGGTCTTGAGGTCAAAATGTTAGTCTCAAAGAAAGCTTTTGGCACAACAAATACACCTATGAAAAATGAGAGCACTATCATCAACCATTTAGATGTTGTGGGCATGGTTTAAGATTTTCAAAAGTAGGTCAAACTCCAAAGTCTTAAGGCAAAAAATGTTGGCATCCAAAGAGATGTTTTGTCACAAGGAATATACATGTAAAATATGAAAACCATAGCTCCAACTATTCAGAAGTCAAGGGCAAGGTTAAAGTTTGTCAAAAGTAGGTCAAACTCCAAGGCCAAAGATAGAAGGTTAAAAAAGTTGATACCTAAAGGGAAAGGTTTCGTCACAAGGTATACAAATTTGAAAAATGAAAGCCCTAGCATCAACTGTTCAGAAGTAATGGGCAAGGTTAAAGTTTTTAAAAAGTAAGCAACTCATAGGTCAAGGTCCTGAGGTCAAAAAAGTTGATATCGAAGAGAAAAGGTCTTGTAAAAAGATATACACTTATGAAAAATAAAAGCCTTAGCATTTAGGTATGTCACTCGACAGCTTTTGAGAAAAGTTTGATCAGAACCTCTAACTTCAACATTATTTATTATAATTCAATTTTTTATGACAAATTTGAATTTAAAAATGCAAATTATACAATATTCAATTTAAAAACTGCTCACAAAACTGTAGTAAAGAAACAAGATTTATGGGGGATTATTTCTTGTGGTGGAAGGATATTTAGAATAAAATTCTTTAAATCTATGCATTTGTTTGATTTGATATCTTGGAACTTTAGCTCTATATATTTTTACTTATGAGAATTTTTTTCATTATCATATACTATGAATATTAAATATACATGTAGCTTTCAGTTAATATTTTCATAACAAATATTACACATTAATTAACGAACTTTGCCAAAAAGTGAAGATATATTTTAAGTTTTCACCTAAAAAGTGCATATTTTGATTTATATAAATTTACATCACTGATCCAAACTTTTTCCATTTAACTGATCAGCAATAAAATCATAAAAAGCTTGACAGAGGAGAATACTTTATTGCCTATCTAGATTTTTAATACACCAAATATGATATTTTTTAGTGCAAAAAAGTCACACAATACTATTAATTTGCAGGATTTTTTCAATACTAAATATCATTCAATCTATTTTACATAAAATAAAATTATATTTATTGCCATGATTATATTTGGTAAAAAATTGTTAACCTAAAAATTACAATTTAAGTGCAAAAAGGTCAAGTTTAATGTACTGTTGTTCACCAACTTCCAATCTTCTTTGCAATTTTGAATCATGCTATATGAGTAGTTATCTAAAATATACTTATCAAAAACCAAGGTAAAAAGTGGTTTAAGTTTTTTAAAAATGGGAGAAACCCAAGGTCAAGGTCATGAGATAAAAAACCCATAGAAAGGTCTAGTTATAAGGAATAAACATGTGAAATTTGTAAGCCCTAGCCCCAACCACTGAAATGTTTTGGCCAAGGTTAAATTTTTGCAGACAAACAGACCAAAAATTATATGCCCCTGAATCTTTGTTACGGGGGCATAAAAAATATATACAAAGTGGATATACAGATTCAATGTATTTTTCACTATATGTGTACTTACATTTGGACCAGGACCCCTTGGCTGAGATATATGCATTGCATTCAAACCATTTGAAATCTGGAAACCAAAAAAATCAATCATGAAACAATAATCACAGACATCACATTCTTTTAAAAATCTGGCACTAGTCAAGGACCCCCCCCCCTCCCCCCTAACCCCCAGAGGTCCTCCCCTAAAATCAGCAAATAATTATCATTATTCTATAATTTTAAATTTCCTGCTTATTTATCACATTAAAGAATTAATCTGTACAATAGAAATTAATAAATGCAATTCATGATATATTAAAGCTAGAGAAATTTAATGAATTGTCTAGAGTTCTAATTTGTTTATTCATTTAAGCTGGGATTACATGTATTTTTAATAGAGATAATTACTTCAGCAAAAATTTCTGACATTTGAGTCAGCCAAAGGTGGAATAACAAACACCTATATCACAAAGATTTCTTAAAATTTCATTGGAGGAGTTACACAAATGATATTATAAAAGAAGGCATCCCATTTTTGTTTTGAAATAAGCACATGATTTGATTTAAAATACTTATAAAGTGCACCAATTCATGACCCATTTGTAAATTTCAAAGAATTTCCTAATTCTTCCCCTGTACCATTCCCAATGTCAAAAAACATTAATTTTTCCCAATTTTGAGACTATAGATTTCAATTCAACTGTCGAGGAACAAACTTTGATGACATCACAATTCTTTTCACGTGAAACATTGTACTAGTTAACTAAATTTTTCACTTCCTCTTAAATCATAAAGTAGAAATCGGTTGAAAAATGGTGATTAATGAGTAAAACAATGAAGATGTTCTTTATTCTTTAAAACATGGATTAATAGTAAATGAAGTAAGAAGAAAAGTAAAATAAATATCATTTGTTGATAAGACAGAAAATTGGTTATAACTTAGTCTCGTCCGTTAGCCATATACGGTAAGACTGAGCCCTAGAGATTGTAACATTATGTATCTAATGCTTGTGATTTAAAAATCAAAAGCCTGAAAGGCTTCAATGGCGTCAAATATGAAAAACAATTTTAAAAGTTCTTTTGAATTAAATATGAAATTAAACAATGCTAAAAAAAAACAAGAGGCCCAAGGGCCTTAATGGTCACCTGAGTACAATACAACAATTTAGAGGATACATAAACTGATAAATGAAGCTTTGTTGCCCAAAAGCAAGAAAAATAGTATGATTAGCATCAACAAAATAATTGGTCTAGTATTCATCTGCTCCCCCCACATACGTTAATATTGATCCCAAGTCTTCATAATCTCTTTGTATACAGGACTTACCTGACTTGCTGATGATGGAGTTCTCTGTTGAGGAGGCATGCCTGGACCCATATTGTTTTGCATACTTGTAGTAGGTTTTGGAAAGTTATTCATATCCGGAGGTTTTCCAGGAATATTTCTGCAACATTGAAAATTACAAATAAAAAACCATGGCTCACTTCTTTATGATAATGGATCACTGGTTGAAAGCTCTGTGATTTAGTAAGTTGACTAAGCATGAAAAAGAAATATCTTCAATTGAAAAATAGCCAGGATTGTCCCTAAGAACTGAAATAGCAGGGGACATTAAAAAAGTAGAAGGGGTCTGGGGTTTCTCCCCTAAGAGGGGTTTGAGGGGGAATACCAGAATAACCGGGGATTGTGTCATTATACGCAGGGGAATTCCCTGGCCCCTGGGTCTTAGGGACAAGCCTGAATAGTGAATAGCTAAAGTCTTTTTACCCTGGTTGACCCATGTTTGGATACTGAGGCCCATTAGCTGTAGGTGGAGTCATATACTGTCCTGGCCCTGGTTTAGGTGGTACACCATAACCTGTAAAATACAATTACAAACTGCAAAAGAAAGTGAAAGTATGGCTGGACTGGTAAGTATTCACTTTTTGATTAGAATGAGATCTGGAGTGAATAATGTAAATTGCTATGTGGATATATATGTGTAACTTATCAGAAACATGGTCTATGGCCAAGGTCAATTACAGTAGAGGTAATTAAAACATCTTCAATAATGGCTGCCAAGACAAAATTCTTTATCTCAAGTTCCTACATTTGCTTTTTGAATAGGCATGAGAAAATATTCTGTACATACGTCTATATCAGAAAATTATGTGGAAACAGATGATAGAAACTCAATACCAGGCAATAATTACGTCATGAAAAACCATCATTTGAACAAAAATTTAGTGCTTATTTTCATTATGAGATTTACATACATAAAAACCAGTGATAGAAAACTTATTTGAAGCTTATGGCAGTACCTAGGTGCTCATTAATAGCTTAAACAGGCCAAAGATGAGTGTGAATTTCTAGACATGAGTTATAAAGGACTGTCTCAAAATTTATTGGAGGACTACGTCCAAATAGTCAGGTAAACTTTATCTCATCTCAGATTATCATAAAACCCTAGTCAATCAGATATTTGAACATCAAACAGAAAAAAAATTACAATGTAAATGATGGTACTTTATTGTGTTTACATACAAAACTCTATACTTAATAATTAATCTCATAAAGAATAACAGCTTTCTTAATTACACTTTTGAAATCATTTTAACAGCTCTCACCTCCTGGACTATTCATGTGACCAGGACCTGGGGGTCTCATTTGTCCTCCTGGGTTCATACCAGGTGCCCCATACCCTGTGGGAGGCATTTGTCCTTGTGTACTTCCCGGGTAGTTGGGATTCATTGTGTCATTTTCTTGTAGCTATTCTGAAATTTAAGAAATATTATAACCATTCCATTCTAATAAAATAGAGAGTCATATAATGTATTGCTAGACATACCAAAACACACTGTCAGTGAACTTACTACATTAACAAACAATTTTCCATCTCCCTTCTGCAAAAGGAATAGGGGATCCGATTGAATCCCAATTTTAATACACATGGAATACCTAAATACTGCCTATATTAATAATTAGCAAACAAAACTGTTACCATGCATTTTGGTACATCTTCATTATTGAAAATTTCAACAAACATACGCCCTTTACAGTATTTTTTTTCTGCAAGTCACTGTGTGCATTATCTCATACATACTGTCAATGTCATTCACGTGTATATAGAGTTATAACCATTATAAACACCTTCCTTATTCCCATATCAATAGTTCTACTATATGCACTAAAAAAAAGTCAAACAGTTCTTCCATTAAGTACACTGACTTTCATATTGATGAGTGTGCAGTAAATATTCTGTTACCTAAGAATATGTCAATGGAGAACACCGGTGTGAACTGCGAAATTTCATCAAACATTGGATTCTTTACCTGATAACATGTACCTGTTTTCGAGAATCTGCCTTGTATTTAAATGTATTCAGTAATTTCACTTCAGAGGTACACTATATTACAGTGTTAACACGAGTCAAAACATACGAAGTGTTTGCCACGTACTGAAGAATGACATCCGGTGGAACACATGCGCAATCGTGCCACGTAAATTTTTGTTGCATTGTGGGAGAAACCTGTCGCTTCCGTCAACAAATGTCTCAAATTAGACTTCAAGGGGAAAAAAATACTAAAAATATATTGATAGCGGGGATGAAAAGGAATTTTAATTGAAACACGGAACAACAAAGAATCAGATTTAGTATATCATGGAGTATTTTATTCAGCATTCCCACTGAGTATTATTATCTAGGTAAAATAATGCACTGGACACCAACAGTTCTGAATGACTACTTTGTTATTGTTAACGGTTTCAACTTTTTAGGATATTTTATACTTTTGGTTCATATCATGCTTGCAGATCTATCTACATACAACTTTCCGGTTATAATATGGTGGTGGAAAAACGTATATCCCCACGAAGATTTAACGTCTTTTAAATACATAGACTGTGGGGGTTATCGTGCCTGTTTGTCAACTTCAGATAGGTTTTACCTGGATGACTCAAGGACTAAAGGAATAATATTCTATGGTACAAGAGTTAATCCTCACGACCTACCTTTACCAAGGAAATTATGGCATGTGTGGAACTTGATTCACGAGGAATCTCCAATGAATAATTATCTGTTATCACACGAGGAATTCATTTCGCTTTTTAACTTCACTGCAACATTTAGAAGGGAATCAGATTATCCGTTAACAACTCAAAGTATTTATTCTTTGGATTACTTAACGAAAAGAAAACCAATGTCTACTGAAGAGAAAAACAGGAAAATACGAGAAAGTGGCAATGCTCCTGTCTTATATGTGCAGTCACATTCAGACGTTGCATCTGACAGAGATGCCTATGTTGAGCAGTTGATGAGATATGTAAAGATTGATTCATTTGGAAAATGTCTTCACAACAAAGATCTCCCAGAATCCATGAGAGAAGCTGTGATTTCTTATGAGGATGAACAATTCATGGATTTCATTTCCTACTATAAATTTCACATTGCTTTTGAAAATGCTATTTGCAGAGACTACATGACCGAGAAATTGTTTCGAGCTCTTCATGTGGGCTCTGTCCCTATATATATGGGATCACCTGATGTTCAAGATTGGATGCCTAATAATAGAAGTGTAATTTTGGCACGTGATTTTGGTTCTCCGGAAGAATTAGCAAAGTATTTGGAGTATTTGAATAAAAATGATGAAGAGTATAACAAATTCTTAGAATACAAATCACCTGGGGGGATAACAAATTCCTTTTTAAAAAATCATTTACAAGACCGCAGTTGGAGTACGCACCCGTCAGAGTCAACTGAAAGTAATGATCTCAATAAGTTTGAGGGGTTTGAATGTTTTGTTTGTAGAAAATTACATGAAGTGTTTGTAGGTGATGGAGACAAATTTGCGAAGGTGAACTTTTCACATAAAGCCAACAATTCACACATGGGTTGTCCAGAACCAAGAAAATTTTCACTGTCAACATTAAATTTCAGTAGTGGGTAAAAAATTAATTTATCTTCAATGTTTTAGTTATATCAGTTGTTTATTGCATAACAAATCTAAATGTCTGTCATATTGTATACATGTGAATCGTGTTCATCCCTTTTGATGCATTTTTATTGTTTTAGGTCAACTGACTTCCATTGGACTAAACTGTATGCTCAGCAGAAAAATACTGCCACAGCAGCTCGGAGAATGGTGGAGTCTGGGGAGAAATATTCCAGTGAATTATATAAATAAATATATATATATTATAAATGGTGAGCTTATTTTTTTACCCTATATATATAGAGAGAAAGAAAACAGAAATTCACTTTATAAGAATACTCAATTCCGACCAAACCAGGGGTTGAACTCCCGACCTACGGAATCTGCCTCCTACCAGGACAGGTACAGCGCGCTGGACCGCTCGGTCATCTAAGGAAGGCAAAAATCTTGCTTTCGATGGAATTCTATTTAATATATATATATATATATATATATATATATATATATATATATATATATATATATATATATATATATATATATATATATATATATATATATATATATATATATATATATATATATAATTATTGTTAACACCCTGCATTGTGAACAGAGTAATAGACGGGTCCGGGTAGTGATTATATTACTCAGTACGAGTACTGTAAGTAACATCATGAACATATTGCATTAAATGCTTTCCAAGTTTAATCTTTAAAGATGTCTCGGAATTACACTACAGTAAAAGAGACTCGATACAATTACAACGTATTAATTTATTTGTCGTGTTTTAAACGCATATATTAGTATGTTAGTTAATACAAATAATGCGCCCACATTTCTTGTTCCGAATTTAGATGCATTTTTGATCCTCTGTTAAAAAAAATTAAAACAAAACAAACTTCAAACATCACAAGATCAGATGTACGGGTGTCGAACATGCAACGAAGGCCGTCGGAACGGGGGAGGGTGTGATCTTCTTTCCTTTTTTTTTTAAATATTTCATTGGTGATGCTGGACCTATCTGTAACATTCAATGTAACTGACCATCAAATCCTCATAAGGCACCTTAAATTCATTTCTGACATTACTAGTCCAGCACTTGAATGGATAAGACCCTATCTAACAGGAAGTTTACGCAAAAGGCAGTCGATCATCGGAATTACACTTCCAAAGGACTTTGATGTAAATGACTATCAAATCCTCGTAAGGCATCTTAAGTTTTCTTATGGTATTACTGACCAGTGCAGCACTTGCATGAATAAGACTCTGCCTAACTGGCATTACGCAAAAGGTTGTCACGGGAACTACACACAAAGGACTTAACTGTAATTGACCATTAAGTCCTCATAGGCAATCTACTGATGCAGCACTTGCACTGTTAAAACCCCACTTAACTGGTAGTACGCATGCAATAGGTACAGTAGTCATCGGATATACACATTCAAAGGACTTTGTGCTTCCTAGTGGAGTTCCTCCATGCTCGGTTTTCGGGTCCAGAATCTAAGCAATGATCTGCCACAGACATGCTGTAATATATATAATGTACTTTGCTACGCGCTTTCACTTTTGACACATGGAACACATCGCAATGTTCCGACATTATATCATATACAGGCCCATAGGAAGCAATTTCATGGGGGTGGGGGGTGGAGGCACAACCTATTGAAAATTTTGACAAGCATAAAAAAGGTCACCAGACATTACTTTTGAGGGACACAAACGGTAAATTAATTTTGTTTTCTTTTGCAGTTTATAGTTGCAAAATTATTGGGTGTGGGGTAGAGGAAGCTCCCCTCATCATCACGGTTCCTAAGGACCTGGTATTATAGAGAGTGCTATTGCATCATGAATTATGTACTGGTTTTCGATTGCATACGTGTGGCCGAGACTCTGAAGCGATGCTGGAAGTACTTTAAAAAGATTGATCTCCTTATTGATCTAATTATTTAAAACGAGGTATTTATCTAAGGAATGTTTTTAAGTTTTGTGTGAGTTATTGGTGTGTAAATCACACAGACTTGTCACGTAGGCATATTTCATGAAGCGCGCTAGCACTTCATGAAAAATATGCCTACGAGCAAGTCTGTGTGATTTACACACCAATAATTCATACTAAACTTAAAAACATTCCTTATATTTACATTTTCAAAAGCACCCAAAATATATTCAATGTTTGAATTATTCGCTGCCCTATAAGCGCGAGTTTCCACGCGTGAGTATACACAAAAATGGCATTCAAATCAATTTCACAGTTGCTTAGAAGAAAAACTCAGCAAATGTAAATATTTGCATTTTATCATATTATTAAAATGATATGACGCCCTAGTACTTAATAGTGTGACGTCATTTACTTCATTAATATTTCATCAGAAACAAGATGTATTAGTGAAACACTGATGCCCCTGTATAGCAACTTATAGCGAATGTTAAACTTTCTCAAATGCAAATCATATATGTTGGTAACCGAAGTAAGGTCTTGTCTCGAGGAATATACCTGTGAAATATGAAAGCACTAGCAGCAACCACTGAAAAGATATGAAAAAGGTTAAAGTTTTTCAAAAGTAACTCAACCATCAAGGTCAAATGTTCAAATTTAATGGTGCCCAAGAAAAGGCCTTCTCACAAGAAATACACACGTGAATTGAGTGAAATATGAAATACCTAGCACCAACCGTTCAAAAGTTATGGCCAAGGTTGAGGTTTTCAAATAGATCAACACCAAGGTCAAAGTCATAGGGTTAAAGTTGTTGGTATCCAAAGTAAGGACTTGTCACAAGGATTACATATGTGAAGTATGAAAGCCCTAGTACCAACTGTTCAAAAGTTGTGGCCAAGGTTAAAGTTTTCCAAAGGTCAAACTCCAAGGTCAAGGTCAAAGAGTCAAAGTTGTTGGTATCCAAACAAGGATTATTGGTGTGAAGTATGAAAGTCCTAGCACCAACTTTTCAAAAGTTACGACCAAGGTTAAAGTTGGGTAAAATTTTGCAAAACTGGGTCAAATTCCAAGGTCAAAAGGTCAAATATAATGGTACCCAAAGAAAGGTCTTGTCACAAGGAATATACATGTGAAATAAAAAAGCCATAGCTCCAACCAATCAAAAGTTATGGGCAAGGTTAAAGCTTTTGCGAGCAAACAGACAGACAGACGGACGGACAGGAAAAATTATATGCCCCCGAATCTTCGATTACGGGGGCAAAAAAGACGGACTAATTAAGAGTTGTCTTCCGCTACGCTCCCAACATTTGGGAGCGTATAACGGGGACGACAACTCTGGATACAGAATGAATTTTTTTCTCTTTGCTCAAGTAGCACAGTTGTGCACGGCGTATAAGCGCCATTGCAATTTTGCAGAAAAAAATAAATAAAATCGTTTGTACGATCAAGAGATTCGTTTGTATATACATGTATACTATTTTTTAATTCGTTTGTACGATTTTTTAAAATCGTGTGTACGATTTAATGTTTAAAATCGTGTGTACGATTTAATTTTTAAAATCGTTATTTAAACTTAGAAAATCCTTTGTACAATTAATTTACAAAAACGAAGGAAATACATTGATAGGAAAATGAATATGCATTTTCTTTTTTTAAACAATTGATATTGATATAGACTGAACACTTTTGGCCAATTATAATCAATCCCCAAATTAGAAGTTTAGAAGTCCTCCTTCACTCCCCATAACTTTATATTTACAATTTTATTTCATATATAAATTTAAATATAAATTATCCCACGTTTTCAACTATCGTTGATGTCCTGGCATACCCAACAAACTAGACAATGATTCCTTAAATATTTCAACGATGATGTTTGAAGGACCATGTGTCCCTAAAAAATGACTGAAAATTGTAGTCGTAGTGCATATTTATCGTTCCAAGTAGCACAGGCTGCATTACATTTAATAACAGGTGAACATGACATATATTTTTTTTTATTGATTGATAAACAAACACAAACATATCATTTTGAAAGGTCTGAAAATTCTGTTGCAAAGACTTTTCCGACATTATTTTTTTCCCCAGACCTTATAAATGGACCTTAAATTAAGATCCGTTACCTCAGACAAGGCATATTCTTAAGTTATGAATGTGACACACAGCATTACAAGGTTCTTTTGTAACTAATAAATACTCTAAGATTGATAACAGTAAAGGGAAATACTAAAAATAACTATATATAAATATATATTATATATATATAATTATATATAATGTGAAATATTTTAATGCGCAAAAATCGCAGGGTTAAACAGAATCGACGGGAAACATCTCGGATTCCATGCATTTTGCACCGGTCTCATACTTCGATAGTTTTGACCAGTTCCTTAAATGAAGCTGGAAATATAACT